TTCTAGTCATCTTTTTACTAGTTACTGCAACCAGTGCCAGACAGATCGGAAAGATTGTATATACTGGGAATTTGTTACATTTGAAAAATTCCCCTTTGTTCTTCTTCTCTGATCAAAGGTCAAGGTCACACAACTCTTGCCTAGGTGAAATAAAGTACTCAACAGAGAATTTCACCAAATTTTCATTTTTCATTAGAATTTTCGAAAAGTTTTTAAGTGGCCTCATTTTTGTGAATAAAAATTTCATAGCTTTTGCTTTATCATAAAGAATCAACGCTTTTTGAATTTGATGAAATGGTTGAAATTGTCGACGAAAGTGGTCAACTAGCCTTGAATTGATGTGTCAGCATGAATAGGTCTATTCGAAAGGCACCGATGCATGCTAATTTGAATTGATTCTGTTGTAGTTTTTTCCATTCTGTCGCTGATGGATTTGGTTGAACTTTCTTGCTGAATACATATTTTTGGGTGAGTCTAAATGAATCCGATTAGTAAGGGGCCGAAGCTGAAATGGCTTTTTCTTTGTTTACTCGTTGTTAAAGTTAGTCTAGAAAATGTGTATTTACGATTTGTCGATATGTTCTTTCTGTTCTTCAGCATCTATATTGCGTCATATGAGCGAGATTTATGAAGCAGCAGCCGCTCATCTTATGCGATCGCATCAATTTAGCAAATCGCTTTACTTTGAAATTGACATCTCAGCGAATTGTCTTTGAAAACTCATAATATCAATCTTTAAAGCTTGCTTTTATGTACAATCATGATTATTTTACTTGAGTATTACAACAATTTCACCTTCATAGTGTTTTGAATATATTAAATAGATATTCGAGATTTAGCATAATCAGATCTGTTGATGCTTAAATTCACCTTTTCTCTTTTGAGGCAATGGGCAAATTAATGAAGATCTAGTTGGCCAATTCCAGTAGTTTTCGCGTTATTTCTGTTATCCACGCTTCTTCACTCACTTCCGAAATTTCGACATCCCAATTCTTTCTCCAATTAGCTAAATGAGCCTTAAACGACTAAACCTGTCTGCCTCTTGCGCTTGTTAAGCTCTTAAAGCACTGTACATTATCAGTTGTCAATGTACTGTCTGTACAACCTATCTAGGATGTCGTCGTCGTTCGACCCATACGACTGGGCCTCATTTTACTTTGGAAAAATGGGTCGTGAAGAAGCCGCTCGCCTGCTGTCGGATCCTA